AGAAACTGGAATATTCTTATCTTATGATGCAGCAAGACAATGACCTAAGCAATCTGGCAAAGAGCACCTCCTTACCTAAGGTCTGTTCAAGCTAATGGGGACTGACTGAAGAGTGTATGTTTAGCCTCCTTGTCTTTGCTAACTTTGTTAAGCTTTAGGTATTTTGATAAGCTTTAAGGACCAGGAAAATATAAAGTTGATAGTCTCCCTATGGACTATATTCATGATTTGAAATTTTATTTTGATACTAAAAGGAGCTTTGATTCAGTAATTGGAGGCTCAAATTTAACAGAGATGAAAGTGTAAGACCCTAATCTTATAAAAGCTAATAACTTACTGTAAACTGTTAAAGATAATTAAGACATTCAAGTTAGTGGTCAGTCGCCTTACAAAGGATCAAACTCTTTAATGTGTTCAGAACTATACTTGTACTAGGGTACAAGTATCTATAAGTACTAAGTACTATATATATAAGTACTATAAGTACTATAAGTACTTATATATAAGTACTAAGTACTTATACTAAGTACTAGGGTAATTAATCATAGAAATATGCCTTATTTAGCCTCCTGTATGTGTTTTCAAGGTTAAGCCTAAAGCAAATAAAAACAAGCAAAGTTTGTTTAGCTCAGATATATTCAATAGACAGTGGTCATCAAACTTGTCAGAGACCTGCTAAGTAGGGCATTTGAAATGTTTAATGGAAAAAGCTTGCTATGACAGAGAGACTCTAGCTGCTAGTGGTGACTCCTAGGTCCCCAAAGAAGGTGATAAGGCACAGTAATTCCACCCGGCTTGTGGCAATACTAACCACTGGGAAAAACTTCCCCAATGCCTCGCCTGCTGCCAGGGCCCAGCACAAACTGTGGACAAGCAGGACACTGGAGAGTTGATTGCCTTACTTTGACTAGTCAAAGTAAAGTCAGTCTCCCAAGTTCCTCCTCTACACAAAAATTTCAGAAAATCTCTCAGACCCGGGTCTGGGGGCTGATGATTAATTCTGCCCTGGGACCTCTGTCCCTAAGGAAGTCATTGAGACCACAGGAACCTGGGGTGACCATCTAGATAATGGGTAAGTTTCTGTCATTTTAATTGATACATAGGTCATTTGGATTATACTTCCTGCTATAATTTATCCTTCTCAGATCTCTGATGGCATTGATGGCATTGATGGCTAGGCCAACGGTATCTTTGTCAGCTTAACAGCAGCAGGTAACCAGCTCCTTCCCCCAAGGTTGTAGCCACCTTGCTAGCTCATTTCATATGCAAAAATCAGATATGGTTTTTATGGAGCTGCTAGATCTCCTGCTGAGAAAGGCAGACAGGTTTGCTTTACTAACAGGCTTCATATTAAAGGATAAACAGGTTTCAGATGTAACTTTTTACTATTTCTTTATTTAAAGAACTTGCTTTACAATGACTGTTCTCAGTAATAACTACTCATGTCTCTGATAGATGGTTAGATAGAAAGAGGTTTAAAGTCTATACAACTTCTGAAAGTCTAAGAAAATGGTCTAAGGTGTATAAAGGCATGAGGATATAAAAGCTTACATACGTTCTGAGGATATAAGAAAGTGATTTAAGGTATGTGAAAAAAGGGAGACATTTCTGATTTCTCTCCTCCTTCTATGCTATTGTTTTACTGAGATTTCTTATGGATGTTAGCTGCTTTGTCTACAATGTGGATTTTAGTACAGACTACAAACAGTGGTAATATATCCAAAACTTCCTTCTCTTTTTGTAAACTAAAAAATTCATGAAAGCTTCAGGGAATTAAGGATCCATCTCTCACAGGTCAAATGGGCTCCAGATAAGTACAGCCTAAGTTTCCCTACCTTCCTGTTCCTGAGGATGTGATCTCTCTCTCTCTCTCTCCCCCCTGGTCTGAGGACTCCTCTCCTCCCCCAACTACTATGTCAGGACCATGGGCCTGAAACTTCTAAATAGAAGATTTTCCTTTAAGTCCCTAAACCTTAACTTCTGTTCCTAGTCCATATCTGTCTCAGTAGATTTCAGCTTGGGTGACAGACACCATCTCGGAGTCAGCTGTGGACTACCCACTGCTCTAAACTGTTGTGAGCCCTGGACTTGCAGAAAGTTGATGTGAACCAGTCCACCCTATGTTATTGCTCCCTGTCTCTTTAGCTGGGTCAGCTAACCAGATGCTTCTGAAGAATGCCCCATTGCCTGAATCCCCTCCAAGTCTTTGAATAGCATTCCAGCTTTCCTGGGCCCTGACAATGAAGTCCTAGTTAGAGCAGGAGGTAGTCACAGAAGAGAGTCCATCACCCCTTGTCCTCAACAGGCTGGAATAGTGGGTCAAAAGGAAACTCCCTGGTGTGTAAAATGAATGAAAAAATTTTCTTAATTTTAAAAAAAAGCAAACTCCCTGGCTTAGAGGACAAAATGGCTACCTATGGTGCCTATTGCCATAATAAAAAAGTACCTGTTAAAACCAAATAGGCCCAGATCTATTAATAGGTAGATTCATTAGCTGAAGCAATTCTATTGTATGATGGGTTACTCAACCTGCTCTGTGTAGAACAAGGAGGTATTATATGGCTTTAAGAAAAAATCATTGTCTCTATACAAACCACTCAGGAATCATTAGAGATAATCAGGCTGTACTCAAACATTGCAAAATGGAGACCTGAGATGAAATAAATGACTGGTGTCCATTCTCACATTTGGGCTCCTCCTAGATAGTAGTTGATGTTAGCCATTACAGGGTTTTTGACCTTTCTGTTTCTTCTAATAACAGTTGGCCCTTGCATCTTTAATGCCTTAATTAGATAGATAAATTCCCATCTTGGTGCCATTAAGTTGATGATGGTTATTAGATCCCAATATAACCAGATACTCACTACAGAGTCAAGGATTTAACTCAGGCTACAACTCAAGGCGGGGAAAGTGAGATGAAAATAGGAACAATATACTTTGCAGGTTAAGGTTTCTGTTTGTAGTTAAGACAGTTAAGAATAAGTTCCTGTTTGTACTGCGTGAAGTCCTTGCAAGTTAAGGTTTCCAAGGGTTCTATTTGTAATTAAAGAATAAATTCCTGTTTCTTAAATCTGATATAAACTGCAAAACATGTTTTTCAACCTACACTAAAATTTCGACCCTATTCACATGTTGTATATCCTTACTTTTTCCTTCCCTTTTGTTGTGTTTTTCTAACAGTGTACAGTGGCCCATTTTCTTACCCCTGTGAACACTTTATCTCTCCTATAAAAGGGCCTTCAAGAGGCCAGCAGGGGCTTCTCTCTCCAACCAACTTAGGGTGAGACAGTCAGCTGGCCAGTCCAGGGTGCACCTCAATATACATCTTGCTTTAACTGGATAATTGTGGATTTGGTCTTTAATCCTCATAATTCTCAGGTTTAAAAGGATGTCACTGCTGACTTCCAGGTTGGAATGTCATGGTTGACTCTTTTTCATTTGTTTTTGTTTATGTGCATGGGTATTTTGCCTGCATGTATGTATATGTACCACACGCATGCCTGGTCTTAGCGGGAGCCAGAAGAGAGTGCTGGAAACCAAACTGGATCTTCTACAAGCACAGCAAGTTCTCTTTCCCAGAGCTAACCCTCCAGCCTCCACCGTTGATGACTCTTTATTACATCAGAGGTTCTGGGTGACTTGCTCAGGTATTACACAGTAAAGAAGGGAGGACTGTGATTGCCCCAAGGTGGTTGAGGAAGGAAGAGGAGTGTGACTCCAACATGGTCTCATGAGTGTCAGGGCTCAGGGTTTGGGCAGTAAAAGAGGAATCAGCATGAGAACTCAAGTCCCTGACCTGTGTCTCAGGTGACCAGGTCCCACCTCCTCTTCTCTGAGCTGCTCTTATTCCCCAATTAGTCTAGAGAAGGGAACAGGTCACCATTCCTCCTCCTGTGGGTTGTTTTCTCCTGTTCTGCCCCCAAGGGTCTCACTGAAGTGCTCTTGTTGACAGCATCCAGGGATCATCTTAGCATCCCTACTGGGAACAGAAATGGTCCTTTCCCAGCTCTCCTGGGGAGGCTCAGAGAGGAGGCAGGGCCATAAAACCTCAGCCTCTGGTCCCACTGGGAAGAGGTGAAGATGTCTGAGCTTGCCTTTGTTAAGCAGGATTTTATAGATGCCATCTTCAGGAGTCACGGCTGGCCTACTTGCAGAGGAAGCAGGAGATTCAGTCCTCAAACTCTACAGCACCTTGGAATTTTTTTGGGGCAGCCTAGAATCCTGAGTCTTTTGACTCAGTTGTTTTAGAGGGGCTTTCCCTTTAGTCTCTTTCCCATGAGAGGAAGAAGCAGCCGCTCAGTTAAACATTTCTTGGATCTACTAGTGGTGAGATGGTCATTGGTGTTTGGTTTTTGGGTGGGGTTCAGGCATCTATGGGACTGGAGATAAGAAATAGCCAAGCCCCCCAACTTCTGGTACTTGGTGCATACATTTCAAACTCCTCAGATCTCTTCCCTCATTATCTGTTCCATGGAACCACACCTCAAATCTTCTCTCCTTCGATCCCTTTATTTTCAGTACATCCCAGGGCCTCCCACATTCAGGCAGGAGGGGAAATCTCATCAGGAGAGCTGGTCTGTGGCTAGCCATCCAGCTCTGTCCTAGGAGGGCTCTGGCCTGTGCCCTCAACTAAATGGACAATGTGTAGACTTTGCCTTCCTCTCCTCCCCACTTCAGAGCCTGTGTGCCAGAAGCAGAGAAGGTGACTGAGAGCCAGGCTCTGAGGGCACACCACCTAAACTCCCACTTCTCCCATGCCCTGCAATCTGGAACAAACCACCCTCTCCAGGGCTTCAATGTTCACCTGTAACACACAGGTAAAAATACTTCCTTCAGTGAATCGTTGTTCTTTTAAACTAAAGTTAGTGGAACAATTGTTAGAATATACAATTAACCCAATAAATATCAGTTGGTTTTATTATTACAAAGGTTAGGAAGTCACCCATACAGTCATACTGTCAGAGATATTTCTTTCTTAGTTGTGTGGGGTTAGTTAACAAGAGAGTAACAGAGAGTATGTCCAACTTGTTTGGTGTCAAAATCGGTATCAGACTCCTCTAGGATTCTTCAGATTGTAAGCAGCCAGTGAACAAGAAATGCAGGAATTATCCTGTCTGGGATAATCCTGTCTAGTACAAGTCAGGGAGGAGGTTCCTGGCTGATCTGAGTCCTGATGTGGCCACACTGTGGGCACCAAGGTGCAGGTGGTGACGAGAAACTAGGCAAAAGCCTTAGGCTGTGAGAGAGGCGGAGGCAGGCAGAATAGTGGAAGGGCTGGCATGGAGATTTGTGCATGGAGAGAGAGGAGACAGTTGTGTGCCAGGCTGAAGTCTCCGGTGAGCAGAACGTTTGGATCTACTGTCTTTCCTCTGGTAGGTGAGAGGGAGCCACAGGGAAGAGAGGAGCAGGGTGTGGGTGTTTGAAAGACTTTAAACCGGGGCCGATAGGACGAGTGTGAAATTTTTCAAAAACCACTGTAGCAGACACATGAAGTGTTGATGCAGACAGCTGCCCAGCACTGAGAAGGGGAAGTGGACACGAAGTCCTGCCCTAAACAAGAACCTCTTTGCAATTGATCCCTATTTAGAAAAGGGAAATCAGTGTCTCCCAATGGAGTGTCACTGCGTATATTCAGTAACACTGCGTGGCAAGCCACATGCCCAGGGGTAGCTGACCAACACAAAACTGACTCCATGTTTGTTTCTGTGGTTTTTTGTTTAAATTTTATTTCTTGTAGCTTATCTTTTTCATTTTTGTTGTTTGTTTTGTTTTGTCTCAAAAGTGAGTGAGGGAGGAGAAAGAACATGAGTACAGGGAGGGGAAAGAATGTAATCAAACTATATTAATAAAAATATTAAAAATTAAAATAAAAAGACTATATTGAAGGAGGAAGACTTAGAAGCAAGGGGCACCTGAGGACGCTGATGCAGAACTGCTGGGAGAGATGATGGGCTCCTGACCTGGGCTGAAAGGAAGGACAACGGTGAGGGTCATGAGCAGTAGACTGGTCAGGAGAGGGCATGGGGACAAGGGAAGAGAAGACTGAGGATGTCTAAAAGTTTTTTTTTACATTTCTACCTCCATCAAAGCCCATTCCTGCTTTAACCATTGTCTTGCTGATTAACATGAGTGGTGCCTTAGTTCAGACTATTTTAGGTAGAGTTAGGAAATTTCCTTTACATGTCTTTCCCTGAGCATGTGTTTCTATGTGCGTTTGTGTTTTACACATTGTTTCAGAACTGTAGTTGACATTTGTATTCTGGACAATGCGTTAAGTGTGTTCAACATTAGGGAACACAGCCAGGCACACACTAAAGGGATCATTTTAATTTACTCTCCCATCGATCCAGTTACTCTTGTCAACACTAGATCTCTGTTACTGTAGCCATGCTGGTAGGTGTGTGGGGATGTGAGATGGAGAAGAGGAGGGTGGGTGTTGGCACTGTGTTGTTCTCCTGCAATTTCCAGATGAGTAATGGTGCTGAGGACCTGAGCCTCATCAGTGCTCACTAGACAGCTGCCTTGTGAAATGCCCTTTAAATACTGTTCACTGTTCCATTGGAGCATCTGTTGTTATGACATATCTTTCCAATTCTTTGTATAAATATTTTGAGCACTTCTTTTTTGCTTATTCTAGATTACCATTATTTTTCCTCTGTATGAAAAGTACTTTTTTGTGCTCTTTTAGAGAAATTTTTGCTTACCCCAAAAGGATAAAGGTATTTATCTGGTTTGATTCTAAAAATCTGGTTGCTTTAGATTTGCCACTTAAAGCTATGGTACACCTGGAATTGATGTTTTGTGTGTGCAGGGAGGTAGGAGTGAAAAAGGAAGACTATTCCTTCGTCCATATTCACACATTCACCAGCGTTCCCTCGGAAGGCAATGTCTCCAGCGCACTGCACGCGTGGACTTCTGTCCTTTTTCATTTGACTGGATGTGTGTGGGCCTGCACTTGGTTTGGTTTGTCTTCTTCATCTGTTTGTTTACTCTCTCTTACTCTCTTTCTGCCTGTCTGTGCTGTACTGTGAGTGTGTTCAGAGACTGATATGGGATCCTTTCTCAATTGCTCTCACCTTACTGGGGCGCAGGGTCTCTCAGTTGACGCCAGTGCTAATCATTTCAGTTGGTGTAGCTAGAAGCCTTCTTACTGTGGGGATCTGGAATGGGAGTGTGAGATTGCACGTGATGTGTCATGTGTTAGATGGTGTTTCCAAGAGTTATATGAGATGCTTTAGATACTCATAGTCCTGAGACATGAGTGTCATCAACCCCATTTGACAGATGAAGAGACTGAGGCATTGGGAGGTTCAGCAACTTGAGAAGTGTGCACAGAAACTGAACAGTGTGCTCAGAACCCAGACCCCAGCCTTTCTTTTTAAAATTATAATGTATTTTTGTGTTTATATTTTTATAAACCTGAAAATGTATATAGGTTTTTGCCTACATGTCTATCTATGCACTATGTGTGTGTCTTGCCTGTGGAGGCCAGAAGTGGTAGTCAGATCTTGAACTGGAGTCACAGACAGCTCTGAGCTATCTGATCCCCTGGAATAGCAGTCAGTGCTCTTAACCTTTGAGGTGTCTCACCAGGCTCCATCTCCCCTTTCTGTCTCAATAGCTACCATGTGTCAGATGACACATAGATGAATGTGATTCTGTTACAGCCCCCACCATGTGGATGATTCCAGGGCAGAATCAAAGCTGGGTTTCCGAGTTTATCCTGCTTGGCTTCTCCAGTGACCCCACGACCAACAGCATCCTCTTCATTGTGTTCCTTCTCATCTACCTATGCTCAGTCCTGGGCAATGGGCTCATCATCATGCTGATCTGTCTGGACTCACAGCTGCACACTCCCATGTACTTCTTCCTCTGTATACTTGCCCTGTTGGATATGTGCTATGTCACCACCACCATGCCCCAGATGTTGGTGCATCTTCTTGCTCACTCTCAGACCATCTCCTTTGCTGGCTGCTGGCTGCAGATGTTTGTGTTTGGTGCCCTGGCTATGACTGAGTGCACCTTCTTTGTTGTTATGGCTTATGACAGATATGTGGCCATTTGCTACCCACTGCGTTATACTGTCATCCTCAACTGGGGACTGTGCATAGGGTTGGCTGCTGGGACATGGATCTGCGGTTTCTTCTTTTCTGTGCTGCATACTTTCTTCACCATGAGTCTGCCATATTGTGGGCCCAACAAGGTCAACCACTACTTCTGTGAAGGTCCTTCAGTGCGCAGCCTGGCTTGTATGGATACCCACATCATTGAGATGGTGGATCTGGTCTTGAGTGTTTTTGTGGTTGTTACTCCCATTTCCCTCATTGTGGCCTCCTACGTTCATATTGCCATGGCAATTATGAAGATCAAGTCCACCCAGGGCCGTTGCAAGGCTTTCTCTACCTGTGCCTCCCACCTGACTGTGGTCACACTCTTCTATGGTCCATGCACTTACATCTACATGAGACCCAACTCCAGCTATTCCCCTGAGCGAGACAAGCAGATCTCACTCTTTTACAATGTGTTTACAGCCTTGCTCAATCCTGTGGTCTACAGTCTTCGGAACAAAGACATCAAGAGGGCATTTCTCAAGGTGATGGGGCATGGTAGGGTGGACTAGAGAACCAGAATCTAGGAGAAGCTCGATTGAAGTATTGAGTATTGAAGGAAGGCAGAATGTCATTATTGAATGCAACTGACCTTTGCAAATGAACTAGTGTTGTACTTGGAACAAGCCACAGTGAAACCAAGGTACACTAAGGTACAAGTCCAAACACTTCAGTAATCTTACTGCAAAGATTCATCTGTTGCTCATTTTGTAGCTGTAGGTTGGATGACCTTCTGTTCTCTCACGTCTGTTCTGAAGGAGGAGCCTTATAGCCAACATGTCATCTCTGGGGGACCAGCCTCCACACTTATTTACTCCAGGAACTCTTGAGGACTGAGGGATAAGAGACTTAGTTAGAATAGAGAGTGGAGCCAGGCGGTCCTGGCACACGTCTTTAATCCCAGCACTCAGGAGGCAGAGTCAGGCAGATCTCCGTGAGTTTGAGGCCAGCCTGGGCTAACAGGAAAGGCATAATGCTACACAGAGAAACCCTGTTTCGAAAAACCAAAAAAAAAAAAAAAAAGAAAAAAAAAGAAAAAAGAAAAGAAAAGAAAAAAAGAAAAAAAATAGAGAGTGGAGAGAAACAGAGAAAACACAGAATAGACTCGGGTGGGCCTGGATCCTTATCCACTGGCTCAGAATTTTATTCCAAAGGTCTATTTATAACAAGGCCAAGGGGTGGAGCAAAAGACCTCTCCCTTGCTAGTTAGGCCTTTACAAACACCTGGTACCCAGACCCATGGTCCAATCAATCTTCTGTGCAGTCCTGCTGGGTACAGCCATTAGGAAACTTAGTGGGCTCCAACAGGTCCCTCTTCTTCATATTTTATTTATTTATTTATTGGGTTTTTTTTTTTTTTTTTGGTGGGGGAGCAGGGAAAGGTAGCTGTCTGTTCCCTGGGACTCCGATGGGTAGGGCCTAGGGCCTAGAGACCTGATCTGTCGGTCTGGAGATAGGAGCTTACCTGTTCTCAGTCGGTGAAGTATATACTTACGATTCTGGTGATCCGGTTCAGTGGCTGGGCGGTGCCTTCTTTTGTGTTCTCAGGTCTCATTTTGCTCATTTGTCAACTCCTCAACTGATCTTGTTTCCTCAGCCTTCAAACTGTAGGATTCTGAATCCTCTCCCGGATGGATTTCAGCTGAGCAGGGTAGTCTCGCCAACACCTCCAAGTTGTTGGGTTTCGCAGGATCAGCAGCTGGGCCCTGGGCTGGCCTCAGACAGAGTGTTCAGATCCGCTCTGGTTCCGTCCCACGGCGATGGCTCCTTCCCCGGGTGTTGGGATTAAAGGCGTCCCTGTTCCAAGCTCTTGATTAAGAGCTTGTTTTCACTAACTCTTCAGCGGGTAATAGCTCAGTTTCTAGTCTTTATTACAACTGCATCTCAGCTGCTGCCCGCCGCTGCGCCTGCCTACCTCTCTCTTTATTTTTTTATTTTATTTTATTTTTTTTTGGATTTTTCGAGACAGGGTTTCTCTGTGTAGCTTTGCGCCTTTCCTGGAACTCACTTGGTAGTCCAGGCTGGCCTCGAACTCATAGAGATCCTCCTGGCTCTGCCTCCCGAGTGCTGGGATTAAAGGCGTGCGCCACCACCGCCCAGCTTCTCTTTATATTTTAAAAGAAAAAACTCTTGATGCAACCGCATCAAACTTAAAGACAAACAGGTTAACATAATTATAATATATATTGCTATTCATAATTACAATTTTCTCAATCTTACATCTTAAAGCAAACTCTTAATATTTCTTGCCAACAAAATATAGAATAAACTTCTGATGTATACATCTTAAACTTAAATACTTTCTTAACTTCACCAAACCATGGTGCATCAATATCAATAGGTTAACGTAATAATTTCTACAAGCCTACTCTCAACCTACAATTTAGAACTATACAAAACATGACATTAATTCACTCAAGTAACACGAAAATATTTTTAAAATTAAATATACTGAGGAATATTAACTCTCCCCCTTTTTTAAAAAAAAACTCTATTTAACCAGTTCCATTTTTACAAAAACAGTTCTATAAGTAGTTCATAAGTCATCCCTGTTGATAGAGTCTATATGCATAAGCAAATTCAAACTGTCGCATTGTAATGAAATCATTATTGTCCATTTTATTTTTTAAGCTCAAAAGTTCAAAAAGAGTTTTGGTACCATTCCTGAAAGTTCCTTTGAGCGCTTGTAGACAGGGCCTGGCCTGTCAGCTGCCCTTACATCTGTGTGTAGCTGTCAGAGTCATAATGACTCTGAAGCAAACAGTTCCAAATAGAAGTCCCACAACCAAAACGTCTCAGTTCAAGCAAGACTCTCTGAAACCTCCGCGTTCAGCTACCGCTGCGCTTTACAGTCTGTAGCCTTCCGTAACCGGTCCCGGACCAGGCTAGAGAGCTTCACCTCATAGCCACGCGGGCTCAAGGCTCCTTCAGCTGCCAGGAGCTGAGAAACTGTGGCTTCCCACCGCAACCCAGGCTTTGGGAGGAAAACCCATTACCTGTACCGTTGACGGTCCAAGTGCTCAGCCAACCTGGTCTCCGGAGTCCTCCATGTGCTGTCCTGTTGCGTGGCTGCCTCGCTGCTGGGAGCTCGGGCTGCAGTCAGTCTCAGCAGTTGCCGCAGAGTTTCAGGCAGGCTCTTCAGCCTGGAGCACGGTTCTCACCTCCACAGCTTCCTGCTTTGCCCCGCGTCTCAGCTGCTTGTCCGGCACTGACACCATTCTCCGGTCCTGAAGCAGTCTGATCTCTGCCATCTCCCTTGTTCACTGCTGCTCTGCTCGCTGTCCATCTTTCCGATGCAATGCAAACCGCTGAGCGTTCTCCACCATTTGCCTTTCTCACGGTGTAGTGTCTCAAAGGCTGCAGAATCTTGCTGTTCACCTTTCCTGCAGCGCGGCATCTCTGCAGGGCTTTCCAAACTGCTGCTTGTCATTAGCCTCTCTCGTGGCTTAGCGTGTTCATTTTTCACCGTGGCTTTCTTTGGGTAGAAAGCTTGTAGACCCTCCTCACACATCTGCCACCTGCACGGTGTTGATGCCTTGAGGATTTCAGCTTCCGAGACCCTCTGGCTGTTATTTTCTGAAGCTGGCAGTCTTTGGAGCTGTTTCTTGTTATCGGTGGCTTTCTGGAACTGCCAAGTCCACAGTCCACCATGGACATTGCTCTCCAAGGTTGGGAAAATCTACACTCAATTACTTTTTTCCACCATATCCTTAAACCTAAAGCCTATATATTCTAAACCTACATTTCTCTGACTCACTTTATACTGAATATGTGACCTATTTAAACCTACATTCTATTATTCAAGTCTACATAATAAACTTACACTCTATGGGACTACTCTAGTGCTTTTCCTAACGTAGCAAACACCTAAAAGAGATATATTACTTCTTACTCTTAACTAACTTAAACTAGGAAGAATCTCTTAGCAAACTCTCTATAGGGCTACCATAAACCTATATTTATAAACCTTACCTAAGTCTCACTTAAGCCTAAACCTCACCTAAGTCTTAGTTACATTCAATAGGTCCTGCACTATATTGCTACACTCTACCTTCCTTATTTTTTTAATAGATAGAAAAAAGAGAGAGAAGAGAAAGAGAGATGCTAACGCTGCAACCTCGTGGCATTTCCTTCACTACCTAGCCTATATACCCGAGAATAAAATACCGTTGCCTTCATTTTTCAATTCCTTATCGGCATGCCTACACTCTCAACGCCCCCTGCAATCCTTTTGCAAGCCCTAGGGATTTTTTTTTAAACTTTTTCTTTGTCTCTGTTCAGGCACCATCTGTAAAAAACCAGTCCCCACACTTATTTACCCCAGGAACTCTTGAGAATTGAGGGATAAGAAACTTAGTTGGAAATAAGGAGAGAGAAACAGAGAGAAAACATAGGATAGACTTGAGGGGTCCTGGACCCTTATTCACCAGCCCAGAACTTTATTCCAAAGGTTTATTTATAACAATGCCAAGGGGTGGAGCAAAAGACCCCCCCCTTGCTATTTAGACCCTTACAAACACCTAGTACCCAGACCCGTGGTCCAGTCAATCTCCCATGCAGTCCTGCTGGGTACAGCCACTAGGAAACTTAGTGGGCTCCACCAGTCATCCTAAAAGAGAAGGAAAAGAACCGTAGAGAAACTCACAATGACTCAGCTTCTCAAGAGTGACCTGCTTCTCTGTCCACTTTCTCTTGGCAAATAAGTAGTGTGGTCCAGCCTGAGAGCAGGAGGTGGGAAAGTGTTTTGTCTAGACAGAAGTAATACAAGTTCTGTGGCCATGGTCTGATATGTTGGTGCTTCTACCTGGAAGGCAGCATGTAATGTGTATTATGTAACCTGGTATAGCTCCCAGAACACAACAGCATACCTATAAACCAACACAAAACATGCTAACTGTGGATAACATGATAGTAGAGACAGCAGAAGGCTGGCTGAGGCCTATATGCTAAGTAGCACAGTGCATGTTGTCAGGACAGAAGTAAGCTGATCGATTGTGGAACAGAAACAATACAGCTCAGAGAACTAACTTCACAGATAAACTCGGTGTGGTCTATGGGGAAACATGATGACCTCTTCTGTCAGTGATGCAATGCTGGAAGTGGAGGGAGCTGGGGTCTCATCAGAACCTCTCAACTGCTGCTCCAATTTCAGGTACCATGCAAGGGCAATTCCTAGTGTTGACTTCTGACTGCTGCCTCCCTTGCATGGTGGTAGGTATGGATTGCCTCTCATCTTCAGAGGAGCTCTTACCTGACCAATCAGCAAGTTCCTCTCTGATTCAGCCCCCTGAACTATTCTTTCCTAAAAAGGCTTCAGACTCCAATTTTATTCTGTGGCCAGGTATTTTCGGATAATGGGTTCACTCTATTCAAGTTAATACTCACTACAATTTTTAAAAATTAAATTTATTAATTATTTCCAGCCCAGTTACAGTTTCCCTTTTCCCCATCCTCTCCTCCAAGTCCCTCCCCTAAACCTCTCTTCTTCCCCCACCCCACAGTCCAATTCTCCTCATTTCTCTTCAGATAAGGGCAGGTCTCCCATGTATATCAGGCAGCCACTGTGTATCTAGTTGTAGTAAGACCAGGCATCTCCTTTCCTGTTTGGGCTAGAGAAGACAATCCAGTAGGAGGAAAGGGTCCCCAAAACAGGTAACAGACTCAGAGACAGCCCCTCTCCCACTGTTAGGAGAGCCACAAGAAGACCTAGCTACACCTGTAGCATATATGCAGAGGGTCCAGGTCAGTCCCATTCAGGTTCCCTTGTTAGTGGTGGTTTAGTCTCTGTGAGCTCCTATGAGCCCAGGATAGTTGATTTTGTGGTTTTCTTGTGGTGTCCTTGACCTCTTTGGCTCCCATAATCCTTTTTCTCCCTCTTTCATTTTACACACACACACACACACACACACACACACACACACACACACACACACACACACACTTAAGAAGTCTCTCACATTCC